TCAAAAAAAAAAAATAAAAAATAAAAAAAAAATAAACACCATCACATGCTGCAGAGAATCCTTTCATAAAAGGAAGACTCAATCATCGAAGAAAACTTTGTTTTATTTTAGGAACTTGCCATACTCCAAACTTCAGCAACCACAACCTGGATCAGTTAGCATCCATCAATATCAAGGCAAAACTCTCCACCAGCAAAAAGATATGACTTACCAGAGAGTTCAGATGAACATTAGCATTTTTTAGCAATAAAGTCTTTTTTACGTAAGATATGTACATTGTTCTTTTTTAGACATGATGCTACTGCATACTTAATAAGCTACAGTAGTATGTAAACATAACTTTTCTTTGTTTTAGAGACAAGGTCTTACTCTGTCTCCAGCCTAGAGCATTGTGGTATGATCATAGCTCACAGCAACCTCAAACTACTGGGCTTAAGTGAGCCTCACATCTCAGCTTCTTGGGCAGCTGGGACTACAGGTGTGCACTACCACACCTGGTTAATTAACATTTTTTTTTAGAGAAAGGGTCTTGCTCTGTTGCCCAGGCTAATCTAAACTCCTAGGCTCAAGTAATCCTTCCCTCAAGGTTGGCCTTCCAAATCCTGGAATTATAGGTGTGAGCTACTTATTACACCAATCTAAACATAATTTTAATGCATTGGGAAATAAAAAAATTCATGTTTTTATCACAACATTCAAATACTGTGGTAGTCTGGAACTAAACTCACAAAATTTTAAAGGTACACTTGTACTTATAATGTTTTTAATAGTGTAGTTTTAAGCTCTTCTTCGGCACATACTGTTATTTCAGTTTAAAAAATAAGATTGTGGCTCAGCGCCCATAGCACAGTGGTATGGTGCCAGCCACATGCACCAAGGCTGACGGGTTTGAACTCGGCCTGGGACAGCTAAACAATGACAACAGCAATGACAATAACAAAAATAGCCAGGAGTTGTGGTGGGTGCCTGCTGTCCTAGCTACGTGGGAGGCTGAGGCAAGAGAATCGCTTAAGCCCAAGAGTTTGAGGTTGCTGTGAGCTGTGACGCCACAGAACTCTGTTGAGAGCAACATAGTGAGACTCTGTCTCAAAAAAAAAAAGTAAGATCGTATCATGTCTGAAGACCAAAAATGTTTCTGGGATCTAACAAAAGTGTAAAAATAATTGGCAGGATCTCACTTAATGTGCACAATATGAAAGTGTTCAGCATGCCCCCGAGGTGAAGAGCTCAACTACAACTTGAACTTCACCTTAGAAATGAAAACAATTTATACCCTCATATTAATCTGAAGTAAAAGTGAAAAAATCGTGAACATAGATCACAAACTTCTTGAAATTTTCTTGCCATCTGCTATTTTATACTGTTGCTTTAAAATCTAGAAGTTCAACTTCCAAAATATAAAGGACACCTGTTTTGTTACTAGCAGTCACATGCAAATATAATTAATTAGAAAGAAAAGATATAGCTAGACTCACGTTTTCACTAGATTCTCTTTCATTCTAGGCAGTTGATCCATCTGTTGCCTTTTAGAAACTTGATGTGAGCTAGAAACCTGAAATTAAAAAATTTGAATGTTTATCCTCTTCATAATTGATTTCAGAGATAAGAGGAATAGTCAATTTTTAATGAACTCTTTCTTAACCAAGTCCTTTAGTAACATGTATAAAGAAGCTGAAGAATAAAGAAAATTCTGGCCTTCTCCAATATTATCAAGCTTTTAAAAGTTTCTGGAAATCTCCCTATCTCAGCCCTATAGTCCATGTGATTTTTAAAATAACTATGAAGAATACTGTAAAAACCCTATCATCCATATGGTATAGATCATTACAAGTTTTTGTAGTAGACACTAAATATACATGTCATTGGGGTAGATAAAAAAAATAGAAACTAGGCTGGGGGTGATGGCCCACTCTGGGAGGCCAAGACTGGTAGACTGCCTGAGCTCACAAGTTCAAGACCAGCCTGAGCCACAGTGAGATCTTGTCTCTAAAAATAGCTAGGCATTGTGGCAGCCACCTATAGTCCCAGCTACTCAGGAGCCTGAAGCAAGAAAATTGTTAAAGCCTAAGAGCTATGAGCTATGACTAAGGGTAACAAAGTAAGACTCTGTCTCAAAAAAACAAAAAAGAAAGAAAGAAAGAAAATAGGTGTAGGTATGCTGAAGCAGAAATAGAAAAATCATAGTTTCATTTTTGTCTATTTTGAAATTTTTCCAGAATATAAAAGTGGAGACTTCTTGTGGTTGATGTAAACATAATCTGCAATTCAGGAATAATAGAGGCTGATGGCCTCAGAGATGGCAACTAAGGTCATAAGTGAATAAAATAGTTCATTAAAGGCAAAGAGAACCAATGAAATAAACTTAGAAAGGCAACTTTTTTTTTTTTTGAGACGGAGCCTCAAGCTATCCCCCTGGGTAGAGTGCCATGGCATCACGCTCACAGCGCCCTCCAACTCCTGGGCTCAAGCGAGTCTCCTGCCTCAGCCTCCCAAGTAGCTGGGACTACAGGCGCCCGCCACAACGCCCGGCCATTTTCTTGGCTGCAGCCATCATTGTTGTTTGGCGGGCCCGGGCTGGGGATTCGAACCCGCCACCTTAGGTGTATGTGGCTGGTGCCTTAGCCGCTTGAGCCACAGGCGCCGAGCCTAGAAAGGCAACTTTTAAGGAACAGAAGAATCATCAACGATAAACAGGCCATGATTTAAATGAGAGGAAAAACCAGGAATAAAGTACTGGCATGGAAGTTGGGGGTGTGGGCAGTATTCAAAGCAGTGAGCATAGACAGTGTAAAATACTCTAATAGCAGGAGGCTTGAAAAGCAGTCATTGTATTTGGCTATGAAGAGATAAAACTGTCAAGAGCAGAACTGTGGGGTCAAAAGAGATGAAAAAGGTCAAAGAGGGGAAAAATAAAGGCAGTGAGTATATTCCCTCTTTCATGAAGTTTGGCTGAGGAAAAGAAAGGTAAGGTAGTAGTTTTATGAGGACAGTTGGGGTAAAACAAAAGTTTGATTTTGTTTCAGTGGAAGAGTCAGACATTTTGCCAGCAAAAGATAAACCACAGCCAATAACAGAAAGATTAAAACTTTAAGATGAAATAATTATTAAGTGAGTCCTAGAGGCAGTAAACAGAATTGAGAAGAAATCTGGGATCGTTTTTCTTTAAGACAGGAGGAAGAACAGGAATGGAAGATCAAGATATGGATAAATTTGAAGGTAAAAAGTAGGACAACTGGATTTCACACCTTAGACTCTCGTTTCTTTGTGAGCTAAGACATTAGATCATTTGCTAAGTGACACAGGTTTGGGTGCATTGGAACAGAAGATGGAATTCATTCATTCAGCAAATGTTATTATCTATTATGTGCCACCACTACATTAGGCATTGAGGTACAAAGACAAATAAGTTCAGGGTTCTATTGGGAAAACAGCGAAATAGATAACTACAATTAAGTGCCTTGATAGAGGTTTCCATAGGTGCTTTATAAGCATACAGTAGATGTAATTAATTAGGAACAAGAAGGGCTCCACATGGAAAGAGTAATCAATAAGAACTAAAGAAAAAGATATTCTAGGTAGAAGGAACAACAAAGACATCAGGTATAAAGCAGCATGATATGTGCAGGAATTGCCCATAGCATTTGGTCTGTGCAGTGCAGGATGCTAGCAGGGAGGGATAAAGCTGCAGAGACACACATGGTCATGAAGGAAAGGAGCTTTGCTGTGATTCTTTGGGAAATGCAAACTGAAGGTTTTTTGTTTTTTGTTTTTTGAAACAGGAAATGGTACCATAATATCTGTATGTCAGAATGATCACTAAGGCACCAGAGAAGAAAATTTGGTATAGTGGAGACAAAACTTTGATAGCTATGTTGTTGAGATTACATCTGAAGTACTAAATTTAAACCTGGGGAGCACCATGTTTAAATGAACAGTAACAATACAGAATTTTCCACCTGGGCAATCTGGGGTGTATTTCACAAGGAAGGGCTAATGTAACTTAATAGTATTTTCGCTCAGAAAAAACAGGACAAAAAATCTATAGAGAAACAGAGTTGTTTACAAATCTTTGAAAAACTATCATGCAGGAATGTAGACTTGTATGTTTTTCAGAGGACTAAACTAAATTAAGGAATTTTCAAGAAAAGAAAATAAAGAGAATTATATGATGCTTTAATTTCTAACAATTAGAACTTCTGAATAATGAAACAGAAAAGCACCAGCTTCCTTATCTGTAAGCTAAAAGCGTTATATTCAATGGTTTCTCAGAGCAATTACTAAAATTCTATATTTTTAGGAATAGAAGCTAAAACTTAAGTTATTATGTGTTGCAACGAACTCTAGTCAGTCTTTCTGCCCATGTAGCAGTGTAGTGTGCCTACATATTCAGAAAGAGCAATGTCCATACTATACTGTACAAATCAGAGACTCTTCCTACGATGGGGAAACTCGTTAGTCTAAACAGTGAACTGAGGCTGAGACAAAGCCACAGCGATGGCAGCAGAAATATAAACAGCAGACCCAGCAACCCAGCAAACAGCTCCAGTTATCTACTAAAGTATCAATTGTGTATGTATTCAGCATGGGCAGAACTGCAAATCATCCATTAACCTTTCTAGTCACTATAGTATCCACATGGTCAGAACTGTCTTTCACTATAAAGATTAACAATTCACTCCAGAGTGAAAATCCTTATTAACATTTATAATGGGGACAGGATTAACATCTTCCTGGGAAGCTGTTAAAATAAACTTTTACTGTATATTCAGTGACTCTGTATAGTCAGACCAAAGGATTATTTCACCTAAATGAATTTTCCAGATAAATAAAGATAAATGAATGCTTTGAAGGCAAAAGACTTTACCTTGAACTTTAAAAAAAAGTCCTTTATCAATATTTTATATATCACCTTTTACTTAATATTTGAGCTTACTATCAATATAAATTTCTGTGTTATGTTTAGTTCAGTAAATTGTTTTGAACATTTTCTATATGCCACACTTTGTACTAAGTGTATAGGAATAGAAAGAATGGGGCACCCTATCTGATCTCAGGGAACCTACAGTTGAGGGAAGCAAACAGACATATTAGCAATATGAGACCAGGAAGAAGGGTAAGGCAAGTAGAAATTCTGACACCTGTGCTACGCAGAAACAGGCCAGGGAGATTAGGAAAGAGAATCAGGAAACAATATTCACCATTTACTGGAATTTAGAACCTATTTTATGCCATTATCTCACTCAGAAATTCATATGCACTGAGGCTCTACACCAGTGATTTTCAACCCATGTGCTGCAGCACTTATTTTCAAAAGAAGTTCAAAGCATAGTAAGTATATTCTTTTTTTTACTCTTTATTTTGATCAACATAATTTGTGTCATGAATGTTTAACTATAGGTTCAAGTATGCCATGACAGAAAAAACGTTGAAAAACACTACTCTAAGCACTCACAAAACTTTGTAAGATACTCACAAAACTTTGTAAGATTTTTTTTTTTTGAGACAGAGCCTCAAGCTATCCCCCTGGGTAAGAATGCTGTGGCTCACAGCAATCTCCAACTCCTGGGCTCAAGCAAGTCTCTTGCCTCAGCCTCCCAAGTAGCTGGGACCACAGGTGCCTGCCACAATGCCTGGCTATTTTTTTTTTGTTGTCGTTGCAGTCATCGTTGTTTGGCAGGTCCGGGCTGGATTTGAATCCGCCACCTTAGGTGTATGTGGCTGGCACCTTAGCCACTTGAGCCACAGGCACTGAGCCAAAAGGGCATTTTTTTTTTTGGCTGGGGCTGGGTTTGAACCCACTACCTCCGGCATATGGGGCCGGCGCCCTACCCTTTTGAGCCACAGGCACCGCCCCAGATACTTGTATTTCTGTTTTACTAGTGGGGAAAGAAATTAAGGCCCCAAAAGGTCACACACAACAGTAGATGCAGAGCTGGGATTCTGCGATTCAAATTCAAATTTGCAATGGTGCTACAGTCTGTGGTCTTTTTATCATGCATGTCATGGCCTCATAACATGTGTTAGACCTTGAAGGAAGTGGAATTGGCATGTGGGACAAGAGCATATTCCAAATATATAGCCTGAAAAAAGGCATCAGGGTGTCTAGGCTGCAAGAGTAAACAGTGCTGCCAACCTAGTACTAAGGACTGTGAAGTTTGAACTGACTGTCTACTATAAGGACAAGAGACTACAAGGACTGATCTCTTCTTGTCTCAATTACCCACTTACTTAAATCAACACTACAAAGTCCAAGCTTCCCTTTATCCACTGTAGACCTGACTTTTTTTCAGACCTGACTTTTTTCTCAAATTTTTCTACGCATTCCCTTATCAGCTCCAATCCTAAACCTAACTCCCTTCCTCTCTGTCCTTCACTGCTCCCTCTAGATACTCTAGAAGAGTGATTAGCAGGCTGCTCTCTATGTCAAGCCAATCCTCAAGGTCTTCTACCTCCTTGTCTAACCTAGCTATGTCTTGAGAATTCCAACCCCCTTTTTGGTTGCTCTTCCCTTCACTATCACTGTTGAAGCTCTTCAAAGCTATGTCCTAGATTGTTTCTTCTTTTCACTACATATTTTCTCACTGATGCATTTCTTTTTTCTTTTTTTCTTTTTTTTTTTTGAGACAGAGTCTCAACTGTCACCCTGGTAGAGTGTTGTGCTATCACAGCTCACAGCAACCTCAAACTCTTGGGCTTAAGCAATTCTCTTGCCTCAGCCTCCCAAGTAGCTGAGACTATAGCCAGCTACTATGCCTGGCTATTTTTTGTTGCAGTTGTCATTGTTGTTTAGCAGACCCAGGCTGGGTTCAAACCAGCCAGCCTTGGTGTATGTGGCTGGAGCCCTACCCACTGAGCTATGGGCACCACCTCACTGATGCATTTCTTTTATTGACATGGCTTTACTCATTTATATGCTAATAAATTCTAAGTCTTTATTGACAATCTTTATTTTTTCCCTGAGCTTCATATAGTGACTCCTCTTTAGATACTTCCATTTGGATAACATACATCAAAAACTCAACTTACATCCTAATCTTAAAACATATGCCTAAATAATGTTAATACAGATTAAATATTTAAATGTCAAATATTATGTCATATAAGTACTAAAACAAGATGTGGTGAATGTTATGAAACATTGAGATGAAGATGGTCTTTCTAACTACCACACGAGAAATCATAAATTAAAGATAGCTCTTACAACATAAAAACAAAAACTCTGTATTACCAATAATATCATAAATAAAACTGAAAAAGGCAAATGAAAAACTTGAAAATATGTGCAATCTATTTCATAATTTACTGACTGCTTTCCAGTCCTATATTTATAAGTACATACTTTCTCCCAACAGCAATTCTGATCTTAGACCTTTCTGTGCATAATTAATTATGAAGTGAAGTGCCTTGAATTTCATGATAGCAGAGAGATAGCAGCTTATCTATTTGAATTCTACCAATTATGGATCAAACCAAAGGGATAACTAAGGAAACAAATATGCAAAATAACTTCTTAGTTTGGGAAACTTTTATCTCTCTTTTACCTCTTTATAAAAGTTACATGTTTTCCTTTCCACCTTCCACATTTAGAAATTTGACACCTTTTCTCCCATAATTCCAACATCTGTTTCTTTACCAAACCAAACAAAAGCCTAGAAAAGTGGGAAAACATAATTTATAGTAAGAACAAACTCTTAGAATTTAGAAGTAAAAAAATAATGTTACCTGAGACATTTCATTTAGGTATGTACGGCGTTCATTGTTGGTCTTGTGGTAAGCCTATATGAAAGGTAAAAAAGTAAAGAATTCAACATAACACAAGATTAGTGATACCAGCAAGACTACTAGTAAGTTAAGGTTTATGTCTCTATCTTGTTTTTATAAAATAGTTTAGGAAATAGTTTTGTAAGCATTTTGTGATAATTATATAGTAGGTTTGTAGATAACACTAGAAATAGAGGCAGTTTCAAAGGAATTGTTTAGAATAGGGTAAAAACAAACCTTTGATTCTTGTTCCAGCCTAAGTGCATAGTCTTTCACTTGATTTTCAAGACTCCTTTTTTCTTTTTCTAGCTGTTTAAGTAATGTATTTAAGGATTCCTGTAAGTATAAATAGTAAACTTTTATATGTATTCATGTTTGAAACAACTTCTTCACTAGCAAATGCCTTTTATACCATACCTAACATTCTGTGATTTCATAATTACATAATATGTACTTTTAAAGTAACAGAACAGTAATAATCACAATATTTATTGAACCCTAACAAAATGCCATGTAAATGCTTTTCAGAAATTACTTAATTTAATCCTTATTACAGCTCTGAACATTTAATAAATTTGTTTCTATCTTACTATTGAGAAAATTGCTGCTTATAGAGATTGCATAACTGGCCCAAAGATATATAGCCAATAATTGGTAGAGCTGGAATTAAACCCAGGTAAAATGACTCCAAAGGCCACACACATAGTAAACAATTACTATATGTGTGTTCATACCATTGCTACCATTGTAACCAAAGAGGCAAAGATATTTAGAGAGTATGTTTTACTGCTAACTGAAAAAAAAATTTTTTTTGAGACAGAGTCTCACTATGTCATCCTTAGTACAGTGCCATGGCATCACAGCTCACAGCAACCTCCAACTCTTGGGCTTAAGTGATTCTCTTGCTTCAGCCACCCAAGTAGCTGGGACTATAGGCACCTGCCAGAACACTCAGCTATTTTTTTGGTTGCAGTTGTCATTGTTATTTGGTGGGCCCAGGCTGGATTTGAACCTGACAGCTCTAGTGTATGTGGCTGGCGCGCTAGCCGCTAAGCTACAGGTGCCAAGCCACCAACTGAAAATTTAAAGTCAATTTTTACCTCCTGCTGAAAACCCATTTACAGATCTATAAGAACAGGATAGAATAGGTATTCACATTGAAGAAAAATTTTATGGCACCTTTTTCATAGAGGACATGGAGTGAACTATTTTGAATCATACCAGTAACAGAGCACATATACATAATTATAAATTGTGAGATAAATATGCAATTAAAATGTATAATTCATATCATCCATGCTGAGTTATACCAGTTTCTAGCATTAGTGAAATAAATAAAAGAAAATGCTTATGTCAAATTGCATCAGGTATTTGGGATGAGGGATTTCCAGGTTGAGATCTTAGTTTCCACAATTGTTCTACTCTGTAATAGTCTCACCATTCTGGTTCTCAACTTTACTGTCTATTCTATCACCACATTTCTCTCTTCTTTGACTTGATGAATCATCTCATTTTCCTGATTATATATTTTCTCATTTTTTTCCCTCCCTCACAAACTCCAAAACTTTTATTTATTCATTTATTATTTAGAGGCAGAATCTCACTCTGTCACCCTGAGTAAGAGTGCTGTGACATCATAGCTTACAGCAACCTCAAACTCTTAGGCTCAAGCTATCCTCCTGCCTCAGCCTCCTGAGTAACTGGGACTACAGGCACCCACCACAATGCCCAGCTAGTTTTTTTATTTTTAGTAGAGAAGGGATCTCACTCTTTTTCAGGCTGGTCTCAAACTCCTGAGCTCAAGCAATCCACCTGCCTTGGCCTCTCAGAGTACAAGGATTATAAGCATGAATCCCACCCCACCCCCCAGCCCAGAACTCTTTTTTGAATGCTACTTTCCCTAAGAGCCTCCTACCCCATCTATTTAGCTTTTCAGAGAGGACCTGGATGTGCCATGTCCTGGGTCCCCCAAATAGAAATGTAGAAGAGCTTTCAAGACTCTCATAATCCCTCAAGTCCACCTGGCCAGCATGTTACTGAAGGCAGAAATCTGTTCAGACTTGATAACTGAGGACAAAGAGGTCTGGGGAAGAGGCATGTGGGTAGACCTATAAAAGTAGGATAATTATACACGTAATTATAAATTGTGAGAGAAGTATGCAATTAAAATGTATAATTCCCATGTATAGGTCCCAATATTTTGTATGCAACAGCTAGCATAAGTAGTGGCTTAAGGTATGTGACCTGAAAGCAGACTGGCTGGGCATAAAGCTGAACCTTTGTAACAAAGGGAATTCACACTCCTGCTAGAAGACAAGTCACACCCATTCCATAGAAAAATTTGATTCTTTATGGCTAAACTTGTCTCCAGAGCCTACCCTGTGACCACGAAATTAACATTAGGACATGTCACTGGGAACTTTTTTTTTGAGACAGAGCCTCACTTTGTTGCCCTTGGTAATGTGCCATGGCATCATAGCTCACAGCAACCTCAAACACTTGGGCTCAAGTGATCCTCTTGCCTCAGTAATTTCCCTTTATAATAATATATTTTTTCCAATTTTAATATCAGGTATATCCAGATGAAGGAAAAGAAAAAAGAAAAAGAAAAGAAAATAGTGACTAATTCTCACATAAATTGGATTTAATTTTGACTAAAGTACATTATTTAAGTAATAATTTTTACTTCAACTTGTTATATGTTGTTTAGGATACTGCATCCTCATTTATACCTCATTTATAAGTAAAATAGTTTGTAATTTCCCTTTATAATAATATTTTTTTTTCCAATTTTCATATCAGCTATATCCAGAGGAAGTAGAATGATTTTGAAGTGTTTCTTCTTTTTCTATTGTCTATAAGATTTGGCATGATCTGTTTTTTGAAATTATCTTCTATTTTTATTTATAAATATTAGTTGTCTATTTTTTGAGACTTTGGAAAAATAAAAGGTTAACTGATGACTCCATACTGGACCTCAGACTCAAAGCATTCTATGATAGACATACTTTTATCTGACAATATGTTACTTTTTTTGCATTATTATTATTATTGCTCAATATTTCTTTCATTGCAGCAATCATCTGATCTTTTTTCTGAATGTATTTATCTTCATTCCTTCTTTATGAGGTTTTTGTTTCTAGTCCTTAGCTTAAACATTGTTATTGTTATTAAATTTTAAGCCTCTTTAATTTTGTGAAGGCAAAAAGTAGAAATCAAATAAACACATGTATATGTATAGAGAAAATAAAAAAATAAATTAACTGCAAAAAGCAAAAATAAAAATAAATGTAGGAAAAAAGGATAAGATCTCTGTATTGCGCAGTAATTCTCACCAGAGAGCACCCACTAGAGAAGAGGCATTAAACCAAGTAGACCAAAGACTTCACCAGGAGATATCATCCAGTGTCTGCCTGGACAGTGGGTCCAGGGGTCACCCCACTGCCTGGACAGTGGGTCCAGTGGGTCACCCCACTATTTAGACAATGAGCTCACAGAGTAAACACAGTGACTGAGATGGGCATTAGCTCAACAGCATGGATTCTGTCCCACTGAGGTTGATCTAGTATTACTCCTCAGACCTGACCTGCCAGCAAGAGATACCAACATGAGCCCCTGATATGGTACCATGCTTCAAGGAAATCAACCAACTGTTAGTTGGCAAGTAGATTACATAAAATGCCTTCCACCCTGTAAGGAGCAACTATTCATCCTGATGTGTGTTCCTGATATAATTTTACCTTTCCTACCACAGTGCTTCCTTTCGCCAGCAGCATACTTTGGTAATCTATCAGTGCTAAGAGGGAAGGATATTGTTTTACCCAAAGGTCTCCTTTAGGCAGACCTGTTTTAGCAGGACTTGGATGGACAGTCAACTAGTTGATATCCAAGAACGTCAGCCTAGCATAAGTAGTGGCTCAAGGTATATGAGTTAAAAGCAGAATGGCTAGGCTTAAGGCGGAACCTTTGTAACAAAGGGAATTCACACTACTGCTGGAAGACAAGTCACACCCACTCCATAGAAAAATTTGATTCTTTATGGCTAAACTTGTCTCCAGAGCCTTCCCCATGACCAAGGAACTTAACATTAGCACATGTCACTGGGAACTTTTCTTTAGTAAGAGACAGAGTCTCACTTTGTTGCCCTTGGTAATGTGCCATGGCATCATAGCTCACAGCAACCTCAAACTTCTGGGCTCAAGTGATCCTCTTGCCTCAGTTTTTCATTTTTAGTAGAGACAGGGTCTCACTCCTGCTCAGGCGGGTTTTGAACCTATGAGCTCAAGTGATCCACCTGACTCAGCCTCCCAGAGTGCTAGGATTACAGGCCTCAGCCACTGTGACCCAGACTGTCATTAGGAATTTGCCCATTAGAATTTGTAACAGATTTGTGGCTTTCAGTAAATTCATCAGCTGGTTTTACCCCAATAGACCCAAGTGCCAATTTACTCTATGTTTTTATTTTGTTTTTTATTAGATCATAATTAATATGTACATTAATTCTCTCATAGGATACAGTGTGTTACTTCTATATGCAGTTTGGAAAACTCTCATCCAAGTGGCTAACATAGCCATCATGTCTTTCTCATAATTGTTATGTTAAGACATTTATATTCAACCTTTAGACAAATTCACCTGTACCCAAATAGGATAAACTATAGGCATGATCCCCACAATATCATTCTCTTCCCCCATCCTCCCCCTCCCCTCCCCCCTCCCCTTTCCCCGTAGTCTAGGGCTCCATTTGGATTGTAGCCTTCCTAAGATAGCTAACAATTAGTTTCATAATAGTGTTGAGTACATTGGATACTTTTTCTTCCATTCTTGAGACACTTTGCTAAGGAGGACATTTTCCAGCTCCATCCATGTAAACA